GATCTATTCCTAGAAGTAGGATAGTTGGGTCAAAGGGTGTGGGAATGTGTGGTTTTGATAGATATTGCTCAATTCTCCTCTATCAGTACCTGTTTCCCCATCTCCTTATGAACACTGTTATCAAACTTTATGATCTTTGTCAATCTGATAGTGGAAAAATGTATCTCAGGGTAGTTTATTTTGCAATTATCTGATTTTGAGTGGAGCGAGCCTCATTTCATATGTTTAAGAGATATTTTCCTTTCTGTGTCTTTTTATATCTTTTGCCCATTTTTTTTATTAATAGGAGCTTACTATATATTAGGGAAATCAGCTCTTTGTCAAATGAGTTGCAAATATTTTTTCCCAGTTTGTTGACTTTGCCTAGAGTGTTTTTTCCTCTGCAAAAACTTAGATATTTATGGGATCAAATTTATCCATCCTTTATTTTTCTTTGATTCTGAAATCTGTGTTACAGTTTGAAAGGCCTTCCTCACTCTGAGGTTTTTTTTTTTAAACTTCCCATGGTTCAGCTTACTTTTAGGGCTTATTTTTATATTGCAACCTTGGATCCATTTGGAATTTAGTAAGGTGTAAGGATCATAATATTCTTAAGAACTAGCCCTACCCTTGGCTCTCATATAATTTGCTCTACCTATTGTGCAGGTGAGAAAGAGAGCCCCACGAAGGGGAAGTGCCTGTCTCCAAAAGCTGCTCCTCCCCCAGAGTTCCCTAACTCAGGGAGTGGCACCTCCGTCTAGCAAGGTGCTGAAGTTCAACCTCCAACCACCACATTCAGTCTGTCCTGTTGATTCTTCCTTCTGAATGCTCACAACCCATTCACTTCACACCCACTTACTAAGCTGGTTCAGGCCTCATCACATTATTCACACATCAGGGCTTTTAAACATGCTGCTCCCTCTGCCTGGAATATGGCTGACTCCTTATTCAGGCTTCAGATCTTCCTCACCCACCTTATCTCCAGTACCCCCTGTCACTATGGTATCACTGTATTTTTTCTTTCACAGCACTTACCACACGCTGTAATTACCTTGTTTATTTAATCACTTATTCACTGTCTTCTCCACCAAAATGTAAGCTCCCTGTTATCAGGGGCCATGTTTGTTGTCTCCTGCTGTATCCCTAGCACCTACGACAGTACTTTTCACATAATGGATGTTCCAAATATTTACTGAATGAATAAATGAATGATCTCTCACCTGGACTCCTTCAATGACCTCCTGATTCTCCCTTTTTTTCATGCCTCCACATGAAACATAGACTCAGGGAAATTTGAACTCTCTTCTGATTGACATGTCATTTATCACTGAAGAAAATCAAGGAATCCTGAGAAAAGAGGGAGCTGAAGGCCAACTGTGGGGCCAAAAGAATTGGGACTGACTGGTATGAGGACCAGAGAGGGTCAAGGGGCCTGGCTTCTGGTGCCAGCTCCTCTGCCTGCTGTGTGACCTTGTGACTCACTTCACCTCTCTCAGCATCCTCCTCTTCTGTAAAGTTGTGATATTAAAATCTCAATGTTACAGGGAAGTTGTAAAAATCAAATGAAGATGCATGTGAAAGTGTTTGTACACTGCAAAGGGTTAGGGACAAGGGAAAGCTTTCTTCCCTTTCAGAGGGTGCCCACGTCTCCTTCCCACTTACCTTTAGGTCAGCCTTGCTGTCTTCCCAGGATATTCCTGCCCACAGATGCTATGACAGGACTGAGTCTCTCTTCTCCACCATTTCCAGCTGCTCTGGCTTGGCCCGGCACCCTACCCGGGACATGGCGCCTGCCAATAAGCATGGGGCTGTGCGTGCTGCTGAGAGCTTCTAGGCACAAGGACAGGGATGCCTGGCACACACAGGTTAGCGCAGGAACCTTTTTCTTCTGGGCCTCAGTCTTTCCCTGAGGAAAGCAGGCTTAATTATCTCATCTCCCAAGACACAGACAGTCATCAATATTATAGCAGAGGCTGTAGGGAGTTGTAGGGTGGATGCTCCCAGAAGATAATAGGGAGAGCCAGTCACAAAGCCTCCGGGCTTCAGGTGCACCCAAGCTTCGGTTTAGGAGGTGGTGCCTGATTGTCTTCTTTTAGTCTCCTGGAGCCAAAGCTTCCTCCTTTAGCCATTCAAAAAGGATACTGTTTACTTAGTGGGCCAGAAGAGCTGTCCCAACTCCATACACAGATTACTCAGCCTGAAAATTAAAAACAATCTCCTGTACTTCTCGATGATTTAAGTCAGATTCTCTTTGACATGGTTTTGCCTCAGTCTCCTTTCCTCTGCTGGCCTCTTAAATGTTGGTAATCCCTATGTTGGTCTTCGAAATTTAGGGGGATTTTACTTATCTGAAATTCGGAAGCCTGGGAATTTCTGATTTTCTTTCTTTCTTTAGTGCTTCCCTTCTCCAAATTGTCCCCCATCCTGTTGCCAGAGGGATTATTCCAAAGCACAGTTCTGATCTTCTGGCTCAGAAGTCTTTTGTTCCCTACTGCCAACAGGATCAAGTCCAAATTCCTTAGCTGGGAATCACAAATTGCCACAATTCACTTTTTCAGCTTCAGATTGATTGCCTTGATTTCAATATAAATTAAATCATGAATATGTATTAGTTATGATTAGCTTCAGAGAAAGCCCAAATACTAGGGGCTTAAATAACATAGAAGCTTATTTCTCATGTAAAACTCATTTCTCAAGTCCTGAGGTGGGCAGTCAGGGCTTCTGGGTGTCAGGGACCCAGGCTCCTTTGATCTCTTGTTGTCCCCCTCTTAACATGGTCAAAGACGGCCATGCAAATTCCAGGAATCACGTCTGTATCCCGGCCAGGAGGAAGGTGGAAGGGGAAGAAGGTACAGGATAGATGCCAGGATAGATGCCAGCCGTGTTTTAAAGAGGCTCCTGAGAAACTGACACCTTCCACCTCAGACACCACCTCTGCTTGCATCACAAGGGACAGGCCTTGTCTCCTGCAAGGGAGGCACGGACAGTGTTCATTCCAGCCAACCATGTGCCCACCTAAAAGTCATCAGTTTTAATTCTTAGGAAGAGAATGGATATTTTGGGAAAATGGGAAGATTCTAATAGACATGTCCTGCCTCTATACCTTTGCTGAATCTGCTCCCTTAGTCTGTAACGCTTGTCTCCCTTCCCTGCCTGAGAAAACAATAATCATCCTATAAAGCAGAGCCCAGATGTCACCTCCAGAGCCCAGATGTCACCTCCAGACCCCCAGAGGTACCGTTCTCAGGACACTGTGCACACCCCTCCAGGAGGTCTCTAACTATGGTGGGTGTTATAAATCTTCCTCCCTCCTGTCTGCCTCCTGCGTCCACCCCAGGCGCCTTACTCCCCCCTGAGCCCAGCGTTGTAGACCTTCCCTGAAGAACCTAATCGTCATTTTCACTCCTGTAGCCTTTGGGCAGCCTCCCTACCCCACTCAGGCTTTTTTCACTTGCCCCCACTGACCACCTGTATAAATCATCCATCCCACCAGCCTCGAGGATAAAGGATGGGGGACGGGAGAACTGAGGCAAGTTGGGGCTGATCCTGAGCCCAGGTGTACAAGGTGGCAAATCTTACCCAGCGGGCACCTGCAGACCTGCAGCCCCAGGCTGAAGCCGAGCCCTTTTCTCCAGAGGACACACAAGATGCTCCCAAAGGCAAAAGGATCATGCTGGGAGCCTGTGTTCATGCTTGCCTGCAACTAAACCTGAGCGTACTCAAGCCTTCCAAGCCAGATTTTCCACATCACTCTGCTGCTTAAAAGCCCACGAAGTCCTGACTTCGTGACCCTTCCTGCTCTGAGCCCTGCCCACTGCTCCCACCTCAGTCCTCACACTCCCCCCACATCTTAGGCAGTGGTGCAGGCTCTGAGGCCTCCAAACTTGCACATGTGTTGTTGGCTTTGCTTGGTACACCTTTTCCTGCTTGGCCTTCAAGATTTGCTGTGATGACACTTCCTCTGGGAAGCCTTCCTTAAACCCTCAGGCAGAGCTGCTGTGTCTTGGCCCTCTCAACACCTCCGTATCAGAGGCCTCATTAGCATACTGCACAGTCTGTCCCCTGCACTAGGCTGAGCAGCCACATCTCTCCTGGCATCCCTAGCCTCAGGCACACGCTTGGGACTCAGTAGGTACTCCCTGAATGAGGCTCCTGAGCTACGGGATGGAGGGCCAGGTGAGGAGGGAGACATCCCAAAGTCTCTAGTTCTTTGCTTTGGGTGAGTGGATCATGAGGCAAACACCAAAAAGTCACATAATGTCAAACTCTGTGTGAATAAAGCTACTCATTTTTCAGGGCCTGCTTTCAAGCTTCACCTCAGGAAGGCTCCCCTGACCCCAGGCCTAGGACAAGACCTTAGTCACACTCTCTTAGCACTGCACACACGTCTTCTTTAGCACACTAATCACTACGGTAATTGCTGTGGGATTACTGGTTTAATGCAGGGTTTCTCAACAGCGGCACTGCAGACATTTGGGGCTGGACGATTCTTTGTTGCGGGAGCTGCTCTGCACACGGCAGGATGCTTTAGCAGCATTACCGACCTCTACCCACTAGATGCCAGTAGCACCCTCTCAATTATGACAACCAAAAATGTCTCCAGACATTGTCAAATGTCCCCTGGGGTAAAATAAGCTCAGGTTGAGAACCACTGGGGTAACGTCTATGCCCCCAGTTAGCATGGACGTCCCACGAGGGTCCAGCCACCTGAGACCCCATTTCCGTGGTTCCTCAGCTGTCGTTCCCTCTTCCATGCAGCTGATGCTCCCTGTCCCACACTGAGCCACACACCTGAGAACGAGTCAAACCTTCCTTTTCACTCCTCTGTGGGCCTGGACAGCTTGAGGGCAGAGAGTGTGTCTTATTGGCTTTTGTACCTGCCAGTGCCCACCCTGGCTTTGCTTTCAGGGTGGCCTTAGCTGAGGGACAAATGGAGGACAGGCAAGGAGGGGGCTTCTAGTGCTGGGAGATGGCAGGTGCACAGTGATGGTCCTTCCTCACAGGGATGACTTCTACCGGTGTTTGTTTGTTTGTTTTTAGGAAGTTCAGACTTTATTAGATACCCTGAGGCTGGCCCTGGGAGAAAGACTTTGCTGGCTTCACAGTTCTCCTGCTCGGAAGTGCCAGTGAGGAGAGGAGCAGCCCGGGGAAGGTCAAGGGCCCTGACTGAGGGGCCCGAAAGCAGTCTTGCTGATCTGTCTCCCCTCCCACTTCGCTCTGGCTCCTCTGGCGTTATCACATGGTGAGAATCTGCTTTGAAGATACGAAGGGCTGCATCGAGGTTTCCAAGGCACGCTGGTAGTCCTGCAGTGGGACCTTGGAGCAGGCGGGGGCCGTGAGCTGGCCTTGGCGGATGAGATCGCACAGTGTGAGGATCAGCCCCTTGAACTGCTCTGTGGGAGGTGGAAGGAAGTCAGACGGAGAATAGCAGCAGGGCTTGGCGAGAGGGCACACATGCCACCTCTGCTGTCAGGAGCGGGCGCTGAGCTCCAGGAAAGCCTCGAGAGCCCAGATAGGACAGCTGTGGAGGCACCCTGGGCCCTGCCTGTGCTCAGGACAGTGAGGGCCAGGGTGGGGACAGAGGAGCACGGGGAGTGGCCCCAGGAGATGACGGCCAAGCAGAGTGGTGGCCACGATGGCTCAGACCTATAGAACCTGTCTGGGGTGTACCTGGGAGTCCTGAATGGTAGGAGGGGCAGGGTTACTTTGAGGCAGAGAAGCCAGAAGAGGCAATAGGAGGGAAGTGGGTGTGCCTGGCACACCAACTGCTGTGGAACAGAGGAGCTCTGCTCAGGGAAAGGCTCTCCCTGAGAGCCCAGAACTCCTTAGAACCCCACAAGTTGAGGCCACGAACATCCCCTCCCAGCGCCCCCTCTCACTAAGGACCCAATATGGTACAGGAGGATGAGAAGTGAAGGCCTTAGCTGAGCAGGGTTTTTTCAGACATAAATTCATTCAACATTCAAATCTAATCATATCCCCTGCTGAAGACACTTCAGTAGCTCCCCAATCGCCTTTAAGATAGAGTCTGCACTCCTTAAAAAGGTTTATATGGCCTTTCATAGTCTGGTCACAGCCCATCCGTCCAGCTTCCCACTCTCTACGATGGGCTTCTGCACATGCTATTTTTTCTGCCTGAAACACCCCATTCACACCACCATTTTCCTCCCCTTCAGTTGGATAACTCCATGTCATTCTTCAGTGTCAGCTGGGTCGGGGGACGGTCACATTCTGGGGAGCCAGTCCTCCAGGAGAGGAAGAATAGTGTAGTGGCTCAGGTTCTGGAGTCAGAGAGACTAGCTGTTCACACCCTGGCTGCACCACTCCCTAGGTGGGGTGACTTTGGGCAAGCTACTTAACCACTCTGAACCTCAGTGTCCTGCTCTGTCAAACAAGGCTAACAATAGTTTAAACTATTATGACATTTAAACTGACAGAGGTTAAGTAACTTGCCCAAGGTCCCAAAGCTAGGCTCGGCAGAACCTATAACCAGTAATGGTGGAAGCAGGATTTGAACCCAGGCAGGCTGGCTCCAGAGTTTGTTCTGTTTACTTGGCTGTCTTCCATGGCAGTCTTCCCGAATGTCAGCTCTCAGGACGGGGGTAGTGGCTGCCTTGTTGGATGCTGTGCCCCCAAGGACCAGCCCACTTTAGTTCAATAACTATTTGCTGACTGCAGTTATGGCTAGAGGATATTTTCCTTTAACCTCTTGTGGGGTTGGGGACCCAATTACCTCTCCAGGGCTCAGAGTGGCTGGTCACTTCTGCAGCCATTCATAGGCACTGCCCTCTCGTGTGACCCTTGGCAATGGGGCTGTCATCCACTCACCTGGACTGTGGTCCTTCTTCCACTGGGACAACCAAAAGCCCCGCAGTTTGAGATCCTTAAAAATGAGCAGGCTCTGTGGATACAGGAAGGACACAGTGGAGCTCCGAGGCACTGCTTAAGGTATAGAGTCTCCCTGAAGGACAGGGCACCGCCTGGGTTTAGACCACCGTGGTGTCTCGGCCCCTGTCTCCAGGCCTGCCTCCCCCACCAGCTTACCACAGAGGCAATGACGGGCTGCTTGGCCATCCCCCCGTAGGTCACCATGGTTCCTCCGCGCCTGAAGAGTCCAGAGAGAACAGAGTGGGTGCAGGCAGAGACAGCCCTTCTTGAACCCGCCACAGCGCTTCTATTCCAGCCCTGGTTCCCAAGCTTTGCTCTCAGAATCCCTGGGAAGGGTTCAAAAAATATTATAGATTCCTAGGCCTGACCCCAGACCAAACACATCAAGAGGCAAGGATCTACACTAAAAACCACAAACAAGCCCCCCTCCAGATGACGTGGGTGTTGAGCCAGGGTTGGGAACCCACTCATCTAACCACAGTCAGGCTTTGATGAGGTGTGGAAAAGAAGCGTGTACTACCAAGAAAAGCTCAAGACCGAGTTCAGTCTGGCTCTACTTCACTTATAGGTAAGTGACCTCAGCCAATGCACTGAAAACGGTCCAAACCTCCTCTCTTCCTTTGTACACGCGCATCTGGAGGATCAGTGAGATGAAGTAGCCGTATGGCTCAGGAATGGTGTGGATGGTGTAGAGGACCATGGCGATGGGCCTCTCGCTGCAGGAGGGGCCTTGTCAGGACCTCTGTCTCACACCCACACCCACCCCAGCAGTCAAACAGGAGAGGCTTATGTACTTTTTAAAAGCTAATAAGCTAGAACTTCACATGCTTGCCTTAACCTGTGTTCCTCTCCCCACTCACTCCCTGGCCCTTTTAGGAGTCTGTTGATCAAGGATGACCTGAGACATGTTTTGGGACAACACAAGGGTGACTTTGTAAACTACAAGATGGAAGAAGCTTCTGTGTAAGGCAGGTAACTCTTTGTCCTTGAGGCTCATGGGTGGCTTGGTCTTAAGTTCCCCTCAACTGCCACCTGCCCCAGAAGTGGTTCCTGGGGGAATCAAGCCCTCCCCCCCTGCACCCCTACTGCACTTGGTCTAATCAGAAGAGCTAACATTTACTGGGGGTTCACTAAGTTCCAGGCACGGGTCTAAGCACTTCACATGTATTGACTCCGTGAATCCTCACAGTAACCCCAAGGGAGCATTTTCCTTACCTTCATTTTGTGATGAGAAAACTGATGCCCACCCCTCATTTGTACGGCATTTGTGCATCACCTCAGTGTCCCTTAGACTAACCTTCTGAGGCAGAAAGGGTTTCTATCCCCCTCATTTTATAGATGAAGAGATGGATCATTTTTCATGTACTGGCTAACTTTTAATAAGTCCACAGCTAGTCAACAGCAGAGCTAGGACTTGAACCCAGCCCTTCCGACTCCAATGCCTACACTTGTAGCCACTGCCCAAAGCTTCCTCCTACAGTGAGCGACATGGAGATCACAGGCTGTCTTGGAGGCTGCCTGGGGTAGGGCTGAAGAGGTATGCTCGGGAGTCACAGTAACTTGGGGTCAAGCCTGGCTCTCCTGCTTCCTAGACCTTGGGCAAGGTAATTACCTGCCCTAGGCCTTGTATAAACGGGCAAGGGAACAGTACTGCTCGCCCAGGTGGCTGTGGGGGGTACGTCAAGCACTCTGCACAGAGTCTGGCGTGGGGTAAACGCTCAGTGATTGTTATCACAGCTCTCTGACCACATGACCCATCTTCCCATCTAGCCAGTGAGTTCTAGAGGGTTCCTTTGGTGTCTCAGCCATCTCTGTACCCCTTAGCTAGTGAGTGCTAGTAAATATGTATTAACTAATGTTGTTGAGAGGGTTCCCGCTTTAGTTGGGAAGTGTCCTTCCAGGTGCCCTTCAGCTCGAGAAGTTTATATTAAAGGGAAAAAGAATAGAAGGACACGCGTTGTTAACACTGTCAAGAGCGCTTGTCCCCCTTGGTGGTGGGATGACAGGTAACTTTTGTGCTTAAATTTTCGTTTGTACTTTTACATGCTTTCAAAATGTTTGGTGATAAGCATGTTACCTCTAAAATTAGAATCTATTTTTAAAACCTAATGAAAAATTTAAAAGCTAATAAGCTCGGACTAAGTGACTTTTTAAGATGTCCCTAGGTTATGAATCCTTAACTGTTCCCCTATCACAGAGAGCCTAGCCGTCTACTTCTGGGGTCCCTTGGAAGAACAAAGCCGGATGGGTCTCCTGGTCATCTAGAAAGGAGAAGGCCGAGAAAAGAAGGGCCCAGAGAACTAGGCCATGACTTTGGTCCCAGTTTCCTACTCAGGGGCGTGCTGACCTGGCCTTGGCTCGCACTGGCCATTGGGACTTGGTCACCTGATGGTCCTCCCAGTTGAAGGCCTGGAGAGCCGCAGCCAACCTGACCCGCAGAGCCAAGGAACTTACGCTAAGTGCCGCAACAGCTCTGTGGAGCTTCTCCCACCGACGCAGTTGAGAGCAAGCCGCGGCTGGGGCACGTCCTGGGAAACAAGGAACCTGCAGTGAGGGAGCCAGCTCTCTACGCGTGGGGTCTGAAGCTTGCTACAGCCAGCCTCCCTGCCCCAGCGCTCTGAAGAAGGAGGGCGCGAAGAAAATGGGATGTCCATGCCTTCAAACCCTCTGCCCAGGAAGGGGCTTTTCTTTACCAACTTAATCCTGTTCTCTGTTCAGGGACTGCATTCAAAACTTACCTCCTCTGGGAAAGAATAGACAAAGGGCATCTACATTCCATTTTGAGGGACTTCATTTCCCTGAGTGCGCCTCTTCTTGGCACTCGCAACTCGGTTTATGTTAGATGTGCTCGTGTACTGCTTCAGAAATGTTCTCAACAGGCATGTGTTCTTGAGTGTGTGTGTGTGTTTGGTCCCTCCAGAGTTCAGTGAAAAGAGGCTGAGATGCGGTTTGGTCACTTATTAGGTGTGCTGAAGGGGGAGGTTCTGGAAGGTTAAGATGCTTTGAGTTTAGAGAGACCTGGGGCCAGCCCTGACTCCTCCACTTATGACTATGTGGTCCTGGTCAAGTCTTTTATCTTTTCTGAGTCTTGGTTTCCTCATCTATAAAACAGATCACACCTACTTCGTAGAGCTTTTGTGGTGATTATCAGATAAAATGTAAGGGAGGTGCCTAGGAAATGTTACTCCTTTTCTTTCTCTACCCTCCCCGTGCCTCAGTTTCCTCTCCCAGCTCTGAGACTCACATTGGCTGCGTGGGCTGACATGGCTCACCAGATATTCAAAACTACAAATCACACAGGGTTTCCTAAACTTGGTCTCTCCTGCCTCCTGGGCACTTACTGCAGGCTGTCCCCTGGCTGAGGGAATGGGCTTTGTCCTCCCAAGAAGAGACAAAGGGAGGATGTGGAGAGGAACAAGGGGGCTGGTCCCCAGTTTTTTTAGTTCAAGTCAACTTTCTTCAGGGAGATGAGCATGGAATGGAGGCACAATGGCCCTCATCCTACATACCTTAAAGAAGTTTTTCATCTCATGTTTCCTTAATTCCTCTTCTGTGATAACATGCTCAGCCCCCAGATTCTTCAGTCTGTCAGTCAGCTTCTGGATGTCAGGTCTGGAAACCAAACACAATCCAAGGTCCTTGGTCACACCTACTTGCTTTCTCTACCGAAGTCTCCTAGGACCCCTCTGCCACAGCTGTGAGAACCCGAGTTTCTCTTTGTGGGAAGCTGGGACTGGGTTTAAGCCAGGCCTTGAGCAGGGGCTGGCCACCCAATTTCATCATACTCCAACATCTCTTGGCTTCAGTTTCCTCATTGGCAGGAGAGAGCTACACGGGGTGATTTCTACAGCTCCTGCCAGCTCAAGGATGCTAGAAACCATCGGTGCCGGGGGAGAAGTCATTTCACTTTCTGATTTCTTCTACTGAAATGACAAACTCCACTTCCTTTCCCCTGTCTCTTGTCAAGGGGCTCTTCAGGGTGGTGTGCAAACACACTCCAGCCCAGGAGTGGCTGTGGGCCTCTTGGCCAAGGCAAACAGAATAATTTTTGTTAGCACAACTGAGGGGACAGGGAACTGAAGTGAGACTCAGTTCTCCCACCAAGACTGGACTTCCATGACAGACACGGCCACATTGGTGGGCAGTGAGGCTCCAGGAAATTGGATGTTATGAGGGAAAGAGAACAAGTCAGGAAACTAAGTCTGTTACGGACTTGCCGTGTCTTCACGAGCAAGTTGCTTCTTCTCTCTGAAACTTCAGCTTCCTCATCTGTAAAACAGATGACAAACCTGCCCCATCTCCTTTATGTCGGTATTTAGTGCGCTTCAAAGTACCACACAAATGCAAGGGAAAAAAGGGCTCTGGTTAGACAGGCCACAGAAAGAGTAATACAGCTTAAGACACCCCCAAATATGAACTGTGGTTTTGAAAACATGGGGTTATCACAAGTCAAGAGTCTCAAAAACTCTTAACCGGTCAGTAAAGGCCGCTTCCACCACCTTCCTGCTCTCCCTTTACCGTTCAAAGATGCACTCATCCTACAGCCAAAAGCCACCTGGACTTCATTTCTCGAGGCTCTCATATGTTAGTGAGAGGTATCCCGCCCGGAGAGGGGGGCCTGCTTATGCAAGGGCGCCATCTGGTGGACACGTGGGCAACCGCAGGGATGCCAGGTGGAAAGGCCCAAGTCGTGGTCTGGGATTAGGCTTCCCCACGAACCTGTCTCTGACCACATTGATGGTCCTCAGGCCCAGGGCTGCGGCGATCTGGATGACTGCTTGCCCCACTCCACTGTTGGATGCATTCTGGATGACAGAATCCCCTGTGGAGCCAGGAAGAGACCCAAGTCAAGCCCTGGAGACCTGTAATAGGTCAGGGGCTTCCAGCCTGGGATCCTATTATACAGCGAGAGATGGAGTTCTCAGGTTCCAAAGGCCCCCGGACCTGGCTGCTGACCCTTCTCAGACCTTGGAATGTTGCTCACTCTTCTCCCAATGTCCCCCACACTTCTACAACAGCCACGATGCCTCCCAAGACTCAGCAACTCAGAGGCTACACTGGACGTAATTTAGATCCTACTGTGTAAATGATTTTATATTCTTCATCCTCCCAGTCTCTGCTTAGATTATTTCCTTGGTTTGCAATGTTTCCCTCTTTCTCTCTCCCTTTGTTTCGAAATCTTGTATTTTCTTTGAAGCACAGCTCAAGTGTGACTTCCTTCATGAAGCCTTCCCAGGTCCTCCCCTCTATGTGCTGCCACAGCCCTCTGCGGGCATCTCTATTAATGCTCATGGTCTTATACTTGGTTGTATAAAGGTCTGTTTGTATCAGCGGCTTGCAGCTTCTTGAGGAGGAGGCCATGCCTTATTCCCTCTCTGTACTGCTTAATAAAGGCGCACTGCCTTGAAACGGGATTAGAGCTGTGCTGGAGAAACTGGCAGCCCCTGGAACAGGGTCCTACAGACAGTCTGTGGTCAAAGCCCAGCCCTAGCTTTCGAATTAGTCAACGGGGGAGGCAGTGTGGTGCACTGGGAAACAAGTGGAGTTTCGAATGAGATGGACCTGGTGTGAGTCCCAGCTTCACCACTGACTGGAATCAAATGAGACGAGGCAAGTCAAGACCTCTTTGAACTCAGTTTCCTCCCCATAAAACAGGAGTCCTCGGAGCACCAATCAGGGTGTTCCTGATTAGAGTCAAATACCGTTGTGTCCGGGAAGGTGCTGTGTCACCCTGATATGCTATCTGGGTGTTGAGAGGCAGCAGGGGTCTGGTGCTGGAGATGGAGGACTTCCTGGAAGAAGAACACCCATTCTCCTTAGCCGGGGTCAGCATATAGGTGTCACCCAGTAGTGTGTTACGAAATCAACCTTCCGGGTTGCAAGCAACATTTTTTTTTTTAAGTTCAAATGAAGGAAAACAGAATTAAAAATAGCTGAGTGCACCACACATAGTAAGGGTAAATACTGTTCCATAAAACTTGGGTTTCCATTATATATATATTCATATATGTCTATGTACTGGACTACATGTAAAATGTAATTCTTACTACAGGTCAAGATCACGAGTTTAACTCTGATCTAGCCCACGTCACACCAGCGTTGAGGCAGGAAAGTGGAGATGCACCATGGGCACCTGAGATGGGGTGGTGTCAGAACACCCTGATGTGTCCACCACAGCTGCAGCCCAAATCAGAGGGCCTGTGGGGATGAGACGCAGGCAACCCCAGCGTCTGCTGCACTAGGACTTGAGCAGAGGTCCCTGGTCACACCTGCTGGCTTTCTCCACCAAAGGCCCCCCGGACTGCTCTGCCCCAGCTGTGAGAACCTGCATTTCTCTCTGCGGGATGCTGGGACTGGTTAGCCAGCCTTGAGCAGCAGTGGCCACCTAAGTTTATCATACTCCAACATCTCTTAGCCTCAGTTTCCTCATCCGCTTGACAGAGCTAGGCTGGGTGATTTCTATGGCTCTTCCAGCTCACGGACATGCACAGTGTGCAGGGTAACCCTGCAACAATGGGGGATGGGAGTTGGTGGGAACTGGCCCAGCCTCCTGTCATCTGGAGGTTACTTCTGCGGTGGGTTCTATGAGGGTCTTTAGACTGAGCCCCACCCACCCAAAGCAGTAAGCAGCCTTCACTGGCTTCTCCTCCTCCCCCGTCTCGCTCTCCCTACTCCATTCCTGCTTCCTGGGATCACCTCCTAGCGAACCGTCTGCCCCAGTCCTTGTCTCAGGCTCTGCTTTCAGGGGAGCCCCAAATAAAACACCTGGCTTTGTCATTGCCCTGCTGAGTGATCTCACACAAATAATTTACCTCTCTGGACCTCAGTTTCCTGATTTATAAAAAGGAAGAATAATAAAAGCAGTGCGAGCTTACTGCACCGTACACCAGGCCCTGTGCTAAGCGTTACACTGTGGTGTTTCAGTTAACCCTCAGAACTCCGTATTCTCCATTTTATGGATGAAAAATCTGATGATCTGAGAGGTCAGTTCACACAGTCAGTGAAAGGTGGGGCTGGAGTTCAGACCCAGGTGGTTTGCCAGTGATGACACCAACCTCACTGCGCTGCTCTGGAGACTGAATGCAGTCCATGGGGCAACGCAAGAGCACTTATGTGAACTGGACAGTGCTCTATCAATGCTGAGTGGAACTACTAAGTTCAGCATTTTATTGAAAACACAGGGCTGTGTCTGTCTTGTCTGGCTTTGTATCCCTAGAGCTTAGCACAGCTCGATACATTTTTGCTGATGACAGAATTCCATCCCAAGCTCTAGGGAATGTGATCCTTCAGCGGTTTTCCAGAGTGTATTCCTCATGAGGTTCCAGCATGTTTTCTAGGAACCAACTAACATCTTTCTAAGCAAGAGCAACCACACATTCACCCAGGTGAGGGGCCCGTCTTCCTCTCAGGCCCTTTACCGGCAAGTACCCCGACAGCCCTGTTGGGGTCCTGGCCTGCTCCCCTCACCGGCGGGTTCCTACCTGGCTGCAGCTGCTCAAAGTCCATCAGCATCCTGTAGGCCGTGCAGGGATTGACACCCAGGGTGGCGGCGCTCTGAAGGGGGATGTCATTCGGAACTCCAATCAGTGCTTCCTCGCTGAACACAGCCTCAGTCCGCCAGGTTCCTGAGTCAGGGGGTGAGTCCCAGGCAGTGAGGAAGGACCCCCTCCACACTCACCCCAGTTCACCCTCCTCAGTAAATGGCGCTCTAGACAGCAGACTTCAAGTAATGCTTAGAGAAAGAAGAAAATATTGAAGTCCTTTGGAATATCTTTGAGTCCTCATAATAATTACATAAGGTAGATTGTGTTATTCAGACATTAGTTACCGTTAGATTTTGCTAATGTCACACAGCAGGTGGGTAAAGATCTCAGACTACTAGACTCTGAGGGTGAGATGGTGCATCGTCACCAGGGCAACAGAGGCTGAGAAAGCCCTCATTTCCTACTCATTCTTCTCATCTAGGGCAGCTTGACTCGGGGTGGTATTATGGAAAAAGGCACGAAAGGAGAAGTCGAAGGCCTTGGTTTGGGACCTGGTTTTGCTAGTCTGCTAGTTTGAGCAAATTCCTAACTCACTGAGTTTTGGTGACTCTAATATATAAATGACATGGGCAAGAAGAGCATGACTGCCTCCTCTGAGAGCTGTTGCCCAAATCAAACGCGATGAGGGAAATGAAAAAATCCTGTAACTGGGAAGAAATGACCATTAACCCCCAGCCCACATTCTTCCAGTTCCAGACAAAAGAATCCTGAAATGACAGCACTGAGAAGGCCCATAGAAAGGGCCGCTCCCCTTCCGTCTACGGACACGCATCTCAAACCCGCTGTGAGCCAGGCACGTGAACGACACAGTTCCGTACTTCCATGGAGCTTTCCTTCTAGTGCAGTGGAACAGGTGAGACACAAACAGCAAATACAATCATTATAAATTATAAAGACATAGAGCAACAGCGGAGAGACTACTCTAAATGGGAGTCAAGGACAGTTCTTTGAGGAGGTGACAGGCTAAGATTAAAGGACAGAGATGCTAGCCACTCAAAAAGTACACAAAGAACATTCTAGGAAGAGGGAAAGGCATATGCAGGGCCTCTGAGGCAGGACAGATCTAGGAATGGAACTGGAAGAATACACACTGGGGGCAGAGTGGCTCGAGACACGGCTGGTGTCGCATGGGCTGATGAGACTTTCATGACCACCGACTTCCACGACCTTCACCCACAGTAACCACGAGTTATGTTCTAACTCCAGTTACAAGTTACCAGTGTGCACATTGCCCAGTCTCCCCTGGGACTGGCTGCATGTGGGAAAAAGCTGGCTATGGGCACAGCAACAGCTGAGCAGCTCTGTACCCATGAAAAATGACCAAGATCGGGCCAGTGGAGGAGTCACCTGGTTAATGATGGCCATTCTTATTAAACTGCAGTGTTCGTGAGAAGACTGTGTCTGTTCACTGCTGTATGCTTGAGCCCAGCATGTTGCAGACGCTCACAATATGTTTACTGAATAAACTGAGTTAATTATAGTCCTGACAATTATAAAATCCTCATCCTCTCCGACTGGCACCTGGTTTAAAAGACTCACCTTTTCTCCAGGGAGAAATCCCTGTTCTGGCTACCACCACCACCACCACACCTGCAATTACCCATAAACCTGGCTGACGTCCTTTATCCTTCTCTTCAAATCTAATTATCAAGTCCTGTTACTTTAGTTCTTAAATCCACCCCATCTTCTCCAGTCCTAAATGGCACTGTTTTGTTCAGACCCTCATCATCGGAAGTCTGAACTGTTTAGCCACCTCCTTACTGGCTTCCTGCCTGCACCCTCTGCCCTTCCAGAGCATTCTCTGTACTGCACCAATCTGATCAAATCATTCCTCTTCTTAACTCTTGCTCGGGCCCCCCCGACCGTGGATGCGAGCCCTCCATGACCAGGCCCCAGGCTACCTCTCCAGCCTACCTCTCCAGCCTCATCCTGCTTCTCCTCAATCCCACCGATGACCCAGCCACACTGAGCTACCTGCAGTTCTGACGGTGCTGTGCCTTCTCCTATCACCTTTGCACATGCTGTGCTCTTGGCCTGGGAAGCTCTTCCTCACCTAGCCCACTGGCTGCACTTCTACTCAGTCTCCCAGACGGAGTTCAGGCATCACTCCTCTGGGAATGCTTTCCTAATACTTCACAGGGGACTCTTGCCTTTGTGTCCATCCTGTGATTATGCACTTATTGTACAGCATTGTATTAAGTGTTGTTTTTCCATTCCCAGCCAAGAGCACTTTAAGGGCAGAGACTGTGTCCAACCCATGTTGTGTGCTCTTCACTCAGCACGGGGGCTGGCCCAAAGCACCAGTCAGCATGGAGTGAATCCTTGCAGCTCTCAGTTTGCTCACATGGCTAGGCTCTTTCACTGCCACGTGGCTGTAGGAGAGAGTGGAGCCATTCTTGGAAGCTTCTCTGATCTCAGAGAAGCAAAGAGCTTCTAGTAGACTTCTGCTAGTGTTTTTTCCTGCCTGGCACCTTTTTCTTTCTTGAACTGTTCCTTCCTAACCTCTGGGGCTGTCAACCACAAGGCCCCACCCTCTATACCACAGAGTTGGGCAAGAAACTCAACCAGGGCAATTGGAGCAGCCCAACCCCATCCCTCTGGTGATGGGTTCATGGACGGGCAAGGACCAGGCGGGATTGGCCAGGGCCCTTCTGGGGGATGGATATGGTTGTGCTGGATGGAGGACATGCCTGTTTGTTCTCAGGATGATGTAAAGCTCAGGCTGCTGGTGGCCATCTAAGGTGTATATCAGAGTGGGTTCCAATCTAAGCTCTACCACTTATTGGCTGGGTGACCTTGGGCAAACTGCTTAATCCTTGACATTTACTGTTGCCTCATGTGCAAAATGGGAACAATAATAGTACCTACCTCATGTTGTGGGAATAATTGAGTTCATATATGCAAAGTGCTTAGAACAGTGCCTGGTGCAAAGGGAATGGTCAATAAATAGTTACTGCTATTACTATATCACTGTGTGGGGAGATCCCATCTGAGAACTAACTAGTAAGAACAAGAGAAAGAGCTCTGATATCACTGGGGTTCCTGGATCCAGCTGTGCCTGAAGCTTTCTATCTCTTGCATGTCTCAGTTCCAAAACCCAATTAATTTCTTCTTTTTTTTTGTAAAGCAAGTTGGAGTTGACTCTCTGTAAGTTATAACCCAAAGGGTCCTAACACTGGAGTGCAGCAGGAAGACCAGAGGAGACAAGAGTCTGATGGGCTCTCTTTCAGTTTGCTGTTTGAGTTTGGGGAAGGGCTTCTTCTCAAGTTTCAGTTCCTCATACATCCAACAGGATGGGTGAGTCTGCCCTGCTTCCCTCTTGTGGCTGCTGTCAGGATCCATTTGTATAATGTGTTTGTGCCTCAAAAACTGTCAAGTGCTAAAAAACAAAACTTACCAATGACTCCTCACTAAAGGTCAAAGAAAATCCTAACTCTTGGCTTGGCTTTTGCAGGGCCTTCCCCTTTGTGGCTCCACTAGCTGTGGGACCTTCTTTCTCACTGATGCAATCCTCTCCCACGTGCAGATCCTCTGCTGCGGCTACACTGGATTGTCCACCATTTCCCAAACTCACCTTTGTGTCTTTGCTCATTTTGTTTCCTCCAAATGCAAGGATTTTTGGCTGATCTTCACCTAACAAAATTCATCCATCATTCATCATCAGAACATTCATCATCAAAGGTCTGTTCCAGTGACACCTCCTCCACGAAGCTTCCCTAAGACTCCCTCTCTCACATACACCTGCACACACAGGGTAGCCAGAAGTGCCCTCTGCTTCCTCTGAGCTTGTAGCACTCCCTTTACTGAGGTTATTGGTTTGGAGATTGTCTTACTTAGATTTTAATCTCCTGGACGGCAGGGGCTGTCTTATTTGTATTCCTCATTGCACCTTACAGCAGAGATTCAGGGATGTAGGGATTTGGAGAATCAGCTCTGAACAACATGGGCCCACGGAGATGAGAGAGCAGGTGCATCATCTCCTGAGCAAAAGAAACAATTTCTGCTCTCCTTGTTCAGCCCCATCACTACTGGAGGTACGTACATGAACTTAACAGTAAACCCTGCATTGCTCAGTCACACCGAGCCAATGAGCAAACGTTTACAGTGTGGGTGAAATAGGACCTGGAACAACAAAGCGGGGCAGACACCCAAAGAAACTCACCCAAACCAGCATTTGCTGGGATGACCCAGTCTCCCGGCTTCACCCCAGTCACACTGCTGCCCACAGCTACCACTTGTCCAACGCCTTCGTTCCCTCCAACCGCAGGCAGCTTGGGAAGGAGGCCGTAATTTCCTAAGGGAGAAGAGCACAGAGGGTCATCCAACGGAGCGTGGGCAGTGAAAGCACATGGACTTTGGAGTCAGACAGACCTAAGCCCGATCTGGGTTCTGCCTTTGACCAGCTGTGTAACTAACAAACCTCTCTGAGCCTTAGCTTCTTCATCTGTAAAGGGAGATAATACTCTTTAGTGTTCATGGTTATTATGAGGATTAGATAAGATAATGTGTGAAATGAGCCCAGCATCTCGCAGGCACGTCATAATGGTTGATTTACTCCCTACTGCAATCTTCCTAACTCTCAAAAAGCCTCACATTCCAGAGAGGGGAGGTGGGAGAGGGCTCACAGTCTGCAGACTGCTCATCTGGAGAACAGCTGCTGCTAATCACAGGAATTTCACACCCACACCTGAGGAGGAATGAAAACGAGGTGGCGGCTAAGCAAAAAAGCCAATTAACATAAGCCACAGAAACCAAGGTTACCTTGGATCATATTTATGTCAGAGGGATTGATAGGGGCCGCCAGCATCTTCACATGGACATCTGATCCGCCCACAGCAGCCAGCTCCAGGTTCTTCAGTCTAAGCACAGAGCCAAAGAGAGATGTTAATGTCACCCAGGCTAGACAGGGCGTCTTTTGCTCGAGTCATTTCCCCAAAGTAGGTCAGGCAGCAACATTTTTGAGCTGCCATTGTGTGCCCAGTAATTAGGGTTCTGTTAGGAAGGAGAAAGTTGCTGTAAGGAATTAGCACAGGATATGGGTTAACTCATTAACTGCAAGTGGAAAACCCCTAGTGACCTCTCAACCCCGCCCTAGGAGAGAAAACGGTTAAAAGTTCTCCTGGCATGGATTAGCCTCGTGTTTTCCATAACTTGCTTGATTATAAGAATCAAGTGTGTGCTTCCTGATAGTATAGATTCTCAGGCATCAGCTCTGAACTACTGAACCAGAATCTCCAGATACAGGGCACCCCAAGTAGTTGTTTTTTTTTTTATGATTTTATTTTTTTTCCCCCAAAGCCCCAGCAGATAGTTGTATGTCATAGTTGCACATTCTTCTAGTTGCTGTATGTGGGACGTGACCTCAGCATGGCCGGGATCCGAACGCGGGCCGCCAGCAGCGGAGCGTGATCACTTAACCACTAAGCCACGGGGCCGGCCACCCCCAAGTGGTTCTTATGAACAGGCATAACTGGGAAACCCCGACTGGCTCATCTGTTCTCCATTTTTTTTTTTTGCCCCAACACACAGCAGGGAGAGGAGACATTTCCGTTAGTTGCAGAGGGGGTGAGGGAAATAGAGAGATAGCCTGTGTAGTTCAGAAAGAACTCCCCAGGTGGACTGTGCTTCACCCCTCAGAGTGATGTCCCTCTCTGGTGAGGACCCTGGTCTGTCAGAAAGGACACTGGACGGAGAGCTGAGGGTCTTAGGTATGCAGCCCCACCACACGATGGCTGTGTCAGCATGGGCAAGCTGCTCCCCTGCTCTAGGCCTCTGTTTCTCCATTTGTAAGATGGGGGTAACGGTGGCTTGCACTTGATCACTTCCAAGAGCCTCTCCCATTTCAAGTCTATGTGATAACCCCCTTTGCTCACGGTGGGCCCTAGACACCACGGGGCTAACATCTTTATCCACTGGGACTTTGGTTAATGGGTAAAATCCACCGAAGGGCTTTTGAGGGAGGCCCAGTGACAGTGTCCATGTGTTACTTTTGTTTTTTATAAAAGGAGACTTTCCGACCAGAAAGCACCGATCAGTGTCTAGACCAGTCGGTCCTTGTGACTTTTTCATTACCAGCGACTCCTGTTCTGTCTTTCTCCACACCTCTAAGACTTCAAGTTTGCAATGCTTTTCTCTGCCTAAATGTACTTGTGAAGTAATAATTCTCCTCATTTTTACTTACTAAAGGCACATATAACTGCCAACCAGAGGTTCTCAGCTTTAGGCAACAGTGTCACTGCATTAAGCTGATGTAATTCCAACCACTTCCCGCAGAAATCCGACCTTTTAATTATACCTGAGGGTCCATCTTGGGGTAAAAGTGTGATTTTCAAGTATTCTTGTACTATGAATAATAACGGTGGCAGGTATTTATGAGGTGTTTATTAGACACAAGGTCCTGTGCTAAGGGCTTTAAATACGTGGGCTGATTTAAGATGTAACACTCCTGTGAGGAAAGTATTAATATTCCCATTCTATTAAGTAGGAAATGGAGGTGCCTAGAGCTCATGAAACTTACACCGGGTAGGAGCGCTGGGCAGTGGCAAGGCTTATCTACTTTCCAGGTCGGAGCTCCTACTTACTTTGCTCCACATCAGCATCCCGAAATCAGTTTGGGAATCCCCGACTGCCTACAAGGACCCCTGGGGATCTGGGAGCCCCAATCTGGGAATCCCTGTATTGGATCATGACCAAAGCAAGGCAGGCCATGCCTCACCATGCTTGAGAAACAGATGCAAATAATCGAAATAGAAACACTCTCTACAGAAAATGGTTAACTAGGAAGGAGTTGATGACCGGGGCAAAGAGAATAAAGGGCTTTTTTTTAAGGTCAGTATTAAGGAATGCATGTATTTATACACAGCTGGAGGAGGAGGAGTCCTTATAATAATAATAATAATAATAACTACTGTTCGAGTGCTTACCATTCAGCCACTCTGCTAAGTGCTTTCCATGCCAGCTCTCTACTATTATTGTGATTTTATAGGTGAGGAACAAAGGCACAAAGAGGTAAATAACTTGCTCCAGGCCACCAGAAGTAGTAAGTGGCAGATCTGATTTGAACCTGGCAGTCTGATGCTAGAGAAGCCAGCTGGTGAGGTGCTGACCCAAGACCAAGCCGAGGGCAGCAGGCTGAGCACCAGCCTGGAGTGAGTGGTGTGTGGGCTCGATCCTTGCAGGGCCTGCCTGAGGAGATGGAGCGGGGTCACCAGCTCCCCAGTTTCCCCAGCAGGCTAAGCAGGGAGGCATCAGCCAGACAGTGATGATTCTCTGTGAACACATGTATAAGTCTGCATTCCAAAGAAAAAGCTGCCCAGAGCAAATGGATTGTGGACTAGCAGCCCTTTACATATTATCCATACCTGCTTCTCTCCTGCATTTTTTTTTTTTTTAAGATTTTATTTATTTATTTTTCCCCCAAAGCCCCAGTAGATAGCTGTATGTCATAGCTGCACATCCTTCTAGCTGCTGCACGTGGGACGCGGCCTCAGCATGGCCAGAGGAGCGGCGCGTCGGTGCGCACCCGGGATCCGAACCCGGGCCACCGGCAGCGGAGTGCGCACACCCAACCACCAAGCCACGGGGCCGGCCCATCTCCTGCATTTTGACCAATGATCTGAGTTTTCCTGTAAGCCGACAAAGTCCATGCACTCAAACTACTTAAAGACATTTTTTCTGCACATTTTCTACATGTTCTTCCCTCAGCCCAGAATTTCTTTTCCACAGCATCTCCAGGAAGTGAGAAATTCAATTCACCCTTGAAGACCCAGCTCAAATTTTACTTCCCCTAAGACATCTTTTGACCCTCTTCTTCACCCTGAAGAAAATCATTTGCTCTATCCTCAGTACTCCCATTACCCAGAAGGGGTGACTATACCATTTAGGACCATCTTACACGAGTTTACTGCTTTTTAGTTTATGAAGGTTACATTTTTTTCAACTGATCATAACAAGGCATAAGTTCACATTCCTTTTCCAAAACTCTTGGGGCAAGATATACTCCCCAGTTCAGAACCACGTATTATCTATACCCCCCATGGGGGCTGGGGCAGCACTCTGGGATCAGACACATTGTTTCTGCAGCAAAACGTATGAAGAGTCACACTAAGTGGGATGAATAATGACCACATAAAAACTTCATGTTAGATCAGGCTTTGCCTCCAAACAAGTTACGAAAAAACAAACGAAAACAACTGTCAGTTTTCAGAGCTTTCTGGATTTTGGAGTTGCAGAAACGAATCTGGATTTGAATCCAGGTCTTTTGGACTCAGTTCAGTGCTCTTTTTACTTACCTCCTTGTTTTATAGTCTGAATGTGTGTGTGTGTGTGTGTGTGTGTACGTGTTGTCTCCCCGTTAGACTGTGAGCTCACGGAGAGCAGAAAACTTTTAGTCTTAACTCAGTGTTTAGCACAGTGCCTGGGACCAAAACAGTGCTCAAGAATGCTTCCTAAAGAAGTGATCCAACTTCCCTTTGTAATGAGAAAATGTAGCGTAAAAGTGCCAGCCATTTAGGGAAACCAGGGAGAGACGCAAACCACAGGGACTGAAGCTATTGAGGCTTGTACTTGCTCTTCCTGGTTCTGGGCTATTTAGGAAAATAACCCTAAAGGATGGGTACAAATAAAAATGGAGATTATCCTTAAGAGAGTTTGGTCTAAGCAAAAACCTATGGCTCTTTTCCTCACAGGAAACTGCAGATCAGATTTGCAATAAAATTGTACTTCTTAAAAACTTAGATGACCACAGTCAAGATGAGAATACAAGTAGACTGCAGTTCACAGATGAAGGGCAGAATATGGATTTAGAGTGAAATAGGCAGTCTTGAGTTTGAATCCTCCCTTGGTCATTTACCAGCTAGATAAACCTCCAAATGCTCATTTGTGAGATGGGGAGAACACTAGAACCCAGCTCAAGGATTAAATGAGTTAATGTACAGAAAGCATTTGTTAGAGTATCTGATACACGGTAGATGCTGAAGAAATGGCAGCTGTTATCAGTGGTAGGAATATCCAAGGAAGCCTTTGATACAATTGGCTGGCTATACCTCTGAAATGAATCACTGAATCACTGGAATGAAGGCTTTTTGGAAAATTCAAGTACAGAGCAGAGGGCATTCCAGGCCAGACACACAGAGCTGTGAGTCAGCGTGTGTAGGTGGGAATCTAGGGTAGTACATAAACTTATTCTGGGCGATCTGGCTGGACAATTAAATGACAACTAACGTTGACAGTTTACTAAGTTCCAGGCATTGTGCTTAACATTTTATATGTTTCCTCAAAACACCTATCTGGAAGGTGTTATCACCTCAATTACCAGATGGGAAACTGAAGCTCAGGGAAGTTAAGTAACTTGCCTGAGGTTAAACTGTTAGTAAGTGGCAAGACTTAGTCTTAAGCTTGACTCCAAAACTCAGACCATTGAACACTAAGCCGGCATCCCTACACTGCATTTGTAGAATTCTCGTCCTGAAAGAGATTATTAGGTATTCCCTGGGGTCCAATTCATTTGGGAAAGGCTGCCTACTAAAACCCCTTTATAAGATTCAGACTGCACATTAGAATCATAAAGTCTCTGAGAAGTCCTCTGGTAAAGAAACCCATGTGGCTTTGTGAAATACAGAGCTTCCGGAGTTTACTCAGCTGGGAACACTATTTTCACAGCACACCGAATAACTGCCTGGCCCCAGACAGCAGTTTGAGAAGCACTGCACTGGGCTACAACTGGCTCCCAGTTCTCTTGTCTTCTGGGAGGCTAGCTGCTCTGTGCTTGCTGAAATTCACAGAAGTGGGAGGGAAGGAGAGTGGGGCAGGGACCAGGGTCTAGGAGATGGAAAGTTGAAGCTGCAAACACAGGTGGGTGAGGGTGGCGGGCAGATCTGACACATGCTGCTCGCCTGGGGGGAGGTATGTTGGTCTAGCTGTGTCTCATCAGGGAGACCAGCCCCAGCCTGCCCCATGGAATGCCATCAATACCACAGACACTGCTGTTCCTG